TGACGCAGCCGCGTGCTACGACAGAATTCTGATGTACATTGCTAGTCTTGCAAGCCGCAAGACGGGTATGCCGGTACGGGTCTGCAAAGTGAATGGAATGAATCTGGAACAAGCCCAGTACCATATCAATTCTACTCGGGGAACATCAGTCACGTTTTTGGGGCACACCGAGGCGGATCCCTGGCACGGGTCTGGACAAGGAGCTGGAAACTCCCCGGCCTTATGGCTGTTCATCTCAAGTACACTCTTCGATTGCTTCGAGCCCTATGCGACTGGCGCCACCTTTGCTAGCCCAGACGGCTCCAAGCAAGTTCAATTGTTCATGACGGGGTTCGTAGACGATACCAATTCCTGAATGAACTGCTTCTTATCCAATGAAATTCCCTCAGTGGAGGACCTTATTGGAAAGGCTACAAAAGATGCCCAATGGTGGAATGATCTCCTTTGGTCATCAGGCGGAAAGCTCGAAGCTTCGAAGTGTTCCTTCCACCACCTACGATATGAGTTCAGATCCAGTGGCGAACCAAAGCTGGTCTCGGGGACTGACTTTACACCAACAATCAAGGTGAAATCCACTGATGGTATTGTTACGCCGATCAGACCTGTCGACAACTACAACGACCACAAGTCACTGGGGTGTTTGAAAGGCCCGGCTGGAACTCTCACAGCACAGAAAGCAGCCCTGATCAAGAAATGCACCCATTATACAAGAGTTCTGAAAGGGTCCCCGCTGAATTGACGGGAAGCCAATATGTTTGATCGCAGCATTTTCCTTTTGAGTGTGGGTTACTGCTTGGAGACCACTTTCTTCAAGGATGTCGATCTTGATACAATTGAGTCGGGTCCACGCCGAGCTGCCCTTCAGAAAATGGGGTACAGAGCGAATACTGCAAAAGTCATTTGCTATGGTTCCTGGAAACTCGGGGGGATCGAAATGTTCCGACTCGCCGACAAGCAGGGAATCGGGGTCATCCAGCAGTTCTTAAAGCACTGGAGGACCAGGTGCACCGACATCGGAGATCTAAGTGAAGTCACATACGCATGGTTGCAATTCCATGCCGGAATTGGCCGGCCCATCCTTGAGGATCTCGAAATCGATTGTCATCTCCCAGTCGGGCTGTTCCAATGTATGCGGAGGTTCCTTCAATCCGTTGGAGGCACCATTGAGGTACACAACGCTCACATTCCCCCGTTGCAGCATGAGCACGACTCCTACATTATGGATTGGGTTGGGTGGTATGGGAATTTCTCCGAGGCAGATCTGAAAAGGATCAACTATGTGCGTCTTTACTTCCAAGTTGTCACTGTCGCGGATATCACTACTGCATGTGGCACCTACATCCGGGAGGAGTTCTGGCATGGCTTTTCCAGTCCTTTGATGCCTCGCACTACCTACTTCAAGAGATTTCAAGATCGACCCAAGGATCCCAGGACTTGGTGGTTGTGGAGGAAAGCGTTATCCCTTTTCGCTCCGAATCTGACGTTGGATGTACCCCTGGGGAGGTGGCTCGTCTCTGCCGACAAACTCCGCATGCACCACAGGTTCTTCTACGAGGTAGATGCCAATGTCGTCTATCAACAAGTTTATAATGAAGAGTCCGAATTCTGGATGTTCCAACATCCAGTTCCGAACAAGGAACGGACAGTTCATCGTTGGGAGTTCGGAGATGAGACCTAGCTGGACGCCAGCATCCTACACAACTCTGTGCCCCTGGATCCATACTTCCCCCGATCTTGCACCTCTGTTCAACCAGACTTTGGAAAGCGGCGAGTCCTGGACCTGACCCTCTTCAACAAGTGTGAGACAGTGGTCGTTGGTAGTGGTTTCACAGCAGGCATTCCTGCTCGTCCACTATCACCCACACCGACAACATTTGAGGATGTCCTTGCCACTTTGGAGCCTTGGGAGACAGCTCTTTATGACGAGCTTGAATGGATGGTGGACGCTTACTCGGTCCTGCAGATTGTCACAGCCATGCCCTTCTGGGTGGCGAGTGATGGGGCTGCAGACATTGACAGTTGAAAGGCGAGTTTTGCTTGGGTTCTGGCCGACAATCGCGGTCAGATTGTGCTTCGATGCTCTGGTCCCGTTTTTGGTCTTGTTCCGACATCCTACAGGGCGGAGGCTTATGGCATCCTTTCCCCTACTTGCCTTCTGCGGAGACTGCTGGAGTTCTATGACCGAACCAGCATGAAAGATTATGTTCACCTCTGCGATAAGGAATCCGTTACCAACAAGTGTGCTGGCTGTCTGGATTACGAGGGCTGGTACCCCAATGATTCCTTAGACTCCGACTGGGATGTCTTACAGCAGATCGAGGATTCGTTTCGGGCTGCCGTCACAGTGCCCAAGATGGAGCACATCAAATCGCACCAAGACAAGCACAGGGCCATCAAAACGCTGCCTTTGAAGGCTCAACTGAACTGCAGAGCCGACAAACTGGCAGGCAGTTACATGACCAGACACATGAAACAGGATCACTCCAAGGTGCTCCGATTTCCGGTCAACTTGGCCCAGCTGCACCTTCCCAAAGGAACATGCACATACAAACTCCCCAGAACGCTGCGGCATCTGAGGAACGACCAGCCCTTGTTCGACCACATTGTCAAACTTAATCCTGCCTGGAACGAAGACACACCGGCATTGGTTGATTGGACAGCTCATGGTCGTGCTGTCAACCGTTATGAAATCCACAAACCGACAATTGTGAAGTTTCTCTTTCAATTGTTGCCCGTTGGGAAACGAATACACCGAGATGACGCCAAGTACGATCATCGTTGTCCCCCTTGCGGCGGTGATCATGAGACTGAGACCCATGTTTACAGGTGCTCGCATGTTGACGTGGAATTGTGGCGGGGGACCATGCAACGAGCGATCAGTACAAAGTTGCGAAAGGACTCCACAGACCCCTTCCTATTGGAAATCGTTCTTGATGGGCTTCAATATCACTTTGAAGACAGGTTCATACGCCCGTGGCATTACCCCGAACGATACAGGGACCTTGTTAACGCTCAGAACTTGATCGGGTGGGACAACCTCATGCGGGGACGGATGGCCAAGCAATGGGCCAAGCACCAGGATGCATATTTGCATCGGGTCGGTTCCAAGGAGACCACCAAAACCGAGCAGCTTTGGGTCACCAATCTGGCTTCTGTTCTGATCCAGCAGTGGTAGAATCTCTGGGAAGATCGCAATGCCGCCAGGCACGGCCGGAATCAGGAACAGAAATGGCGCAAGAAACACGAACAGCTCCAAAGAGAGGTTGAACTCCTGTATGAAAAAGCGGATCTGCCCCCGGAGCATCTCCTTGATACCATCTTCAAACGACCCCTGGAGGAACAGATGGCCAAAGGGCCGGAGGATATCAAAGCATGGCTGGCCAATTAGCTTCCAGTTGTTGACAAAGCAATGATGGATGAGCGTGCCCGTGAGCAGCCTTCCCAATCAGGGTAACTATGCGCCGATGTGGGATTCCCATAGCAATAGCGGGCGATTTAGCCTAGCGTAGATAGTTAGTCGTACAGCACCCTCTGGAGTTTTGTTCAATTTCTCCCGTGGGGGGCTTACACTAGGCCCATCCTAAGTGGGCGCCCTTGTGCGCCTGAGGTATATGGGTTCGTCACGGCACCGTTCAGCGGGATTGTCTGACGAGGTGTGGCCTTAAAAATAAAACTTCGTTTTTTTCCCCAATCTTCTCTGCCGCCTAGAGCTGCCCTCCTGCCGGCTACCGCTTGTTTGCCCAGGCTTGACTCCCTGCCAACTACCTCTTCTTTGCCCATTTCCGCTGGCTTCTTTCGTACATAACTGCAATATGAATTTCACAGCTTTAAGCAGTGACCCCAGTGGGATATTATTACGTGCCCCCAATGGGATATTATTACGCCACGTATCTTCCAGCAATCGCGATCGATCCAAAATATTTAAAAATAATTTCGAAAGGAGACAAGAAGATGGTTTTGAGATCAATTTTTTCACTTGCAATGGTGTTTAGTCAATTCTCTATTGACCGCTTGTGTTCAACAAGCAGCATTAATCATGGCGTGAACATTGCTGCATCAACTCCATCATATCGTTGGGGGTGTTATGGAGGCTGCTTGGGTTAATTGAACAAAAGCCAACATTTTATCATACTAGAAGCAATCCTAGAAATAAATGTAAATGGTGCAGGCGGAATGGATGGCCCTATAAAAATACACTTATCTATTGCTAAAATTTAGTTGGACAAAGATAAATATATGTGGTTGTAAAGCCATACTGTCAGTAGGCATCCAGGTTTTTCTCGACAGAAGCAGCAGCTACCGATGGAATGCAACCATCGTCTGTGAGCACTGCTTGGTCAGCTGGCATCTAGGACAAGCACTGCAAAATTTCTTTACAGGTACAATACACCAGATTTACGCATGCGATTCGCGCACATGACTGACATCGGTCGTGCTCCATCATAACCTTAGGCTTCATAGATCAGACCGGGTATTCATAATTGAATGACCAATAATTCAAATTCCTCAAAAACGACACAGGAGCGTGCTGCAATCGTGTTTGAATCTCTACCCTATAGGGGAGAGTTTTGAAACTGTACCTTGAGTCTTGGGTGAAGTTTGAAAACACTACCCTAAAGGATAGAGTTTGAAACTCTCTCCTAATAATTAGGATAGAGTTTCAAACTCTCTCCTACAGGAAACTCTATCCTATATCCCAAACGGCTTACGTAGAGCCACTACTAATTTTAAACTCTATCCTATAGGGTAGAGTTTTCAAACTCTACCCAAGACTTAGGATAGAGTTTCAAAACTCTCCCCTATAGGGTAGAGTTTCAAACTCTATCCGTTAAATACTACCCAAAACCACGATTGAGGCACGCTCCTGGGAAGAATACATGCAAATACGGAACATCCAACCAACTACTGGTAAAAAGTCCCTAGTGATCATTCCGGGACATCAATGACCGAGGTCCAAGAAATGATTAATTCACCACAAATCATGACCATGTAGGATATCCTTAAGGACATGAATAGCAAAAGGGGCCTCTTGGAGATGTAGCGAAACTTGGATTGCTTGTATCTGGGCAGCCGGAACTAGCAAACATGTTTCCCAGGTTAGTGGAGGTAAGTGCTGTGGCTCCATTTCCCCAATCACACAGGTCTTGGTTGAATTGTGAAGAAAAAAACATGAAGTCAAAACCTATGCCAGCAGCAACATTCTATCATAGTGGCACAGTGAGCAAGAGTAGAGCAACAATCACATTGGATATTCCGTTTTTTGTCATTACTTACCCAGTTGGAGATGTCTTGATTAAACTTGCTGGCTTCAAAAGCCCCAAAAAATGATGTTACTTTGCTGTAGAAACCAGAATGACAAAGAAATTAACACAAAGGATTTTTTTTTTTTTTTTAAGTGAGCAAAGCGAGAAATTCAATCTTACCTGACATCCCAATTGCTGAGAGGCTGGTTGAAATTACCTGGATGGTTGGAGAAATTCAAAGAAACAACAGTGAAGTTGAGCATACCAGCAACACTGTCTAGGCTGCATTGTGTGTGAGAGACTGAAGAGCAGTTCAGGTTGACCTACCGGTATGCCAGAAAATGTAGTGCATATTTGTCAAAGAACTTGTTGTCCATCCATTGATATTTTGATTGAACGCCGAGTCTGGTTCACAGCAATTAATAGCAATGGGGTAAGTGTTTCATTTCATTTCATTTCATTTCATTTCATTTGGGGAAAACATCCATGATGGCAACAAAGAAATGCTTACTGGAATGAAACATTGAATACTGTGGACATCGCAGAGTAGATGGTGAATAAATAAGTGTGTTAGTTGTGTGACCATCAAGCCCAATACAAGAAAGCTCCATTAAACTGGTCCATTACCATATTTACACCGGAGGACACATCCCAATCGGAAATGTCTTGATTGAATGTAGTACCTAGGAACTGCATATAGTGGTAGTTGGATAGCCAGAGGCAATGGGTTAGCATTCATTCACTTCTCTCATTATACCAAACGCAGAATGATAGAAGTATACACACCAGGCTACTGAAATAGTTATCCCAGAGACATCCTATTTTGCGTTTGAATGAAGGATCAGCAAAGTGGGTAAGTGTCAGTCCAGAAAAAATCGAAGCATGAGAAAGGAAGCTGCGGAAAAAATCCATCCAGGCCTTACCCAGGTTGCAATGGCACCTGACGAAAAAAAGAGCACAGCAAATGTCAGAAAATACGACACCAGGGGGGAATCTGTTCTTCTGTCCACGTACCATAGGGACTGGAGGCAGAGAAGTCACCAGCAGCAATTGCTATATCAAGTGTAGCCCTTGTGAACACGTAGGGTGTTGGTGCTGGTGATGGGGCAGAAGATGGAACACCACATGCATAGCAAAAGGGGCCTCTTGGAGATGTAGCGAAACTTGGATTGCTTGTATCTGGGCAGCCGGAACTAGCAAACATGTTTCCCAGGTTAGTGGAGGTAAGTGCTGTGGCTCCATTTCCCCAATCACACAGGTCTTGGTTGAATTGTGAAGAAAACATGAAGTCAAAACCTATGCCAGCAGCAACATTCTATCATAGTGGCACAGTGAGCAAGAGTAGAGCAACAATCACATTGGATATTCCGTTTTTTGTCATTACTTACCCAGTTGGAGATGTCTTGATTAAACTTGCTGGCTTCAAAAGCCCCAAAAAATGATGTTACTTTGCTGTAGAAACCAGAATGACAAAGAAATTAACACAAAGGATTTTTTTTTTTTAAGTGAGCAAAGCGAGAAATTCAATCTTACCTGACATCCCAATTGCTGAGAGGCTGGTTGAAATTACCTGGATGGTTGGAGAAATTCAAAGAAACAACAGTGAAGTTGAGCATACCAGCAACACTGTCTAGGCTGCATTGTGTGTGAGAGACTGAAGAGCAGTTCAGGTTGACCTACCGGTATGCCAGAAAATGTAGTGCATATTTGTCAAAGAACTTGTTGTCCATCCATTGATATTTTGATTGAACGCCGAGTCTGGTTCACAGCAATTAATAGCAATGGGGTAAGTGTTTCATTTCATTTCATTTCATATTTCATTTCATTTCATTTGGGGAAAACATCCATGATGGCAACAAAGAAATGCTTACTGGAATGAAACATTGAATACTGTGGACATCGCAGAGTAGATGGTGAATAAATAAGTGTGTTAGTTGTGTGACCATCAAGCCCAATACAAGAAAGCTCCATTAAACTGGTCCATTACCATATTTACACCGGAGGACACATCCCAATCGGAAATGTCTTGATTGAATGTAGTACCTAGGAACTGCATATAGTGGTAGTTGGATAGCCAGAGGCAATGGGTTAGCATTCATTCACTTCTCTCATTATACCAAACGCAGAATGATAGAAGTATACACACCAGGCTACTGAAATCAGTTATCCCAGAGACATCCTATTTTGCGTTTGAATGAAGGATCAGCAAAGTGGGTAAGTGTCAGTCCAGAAAAAATCGAAGCATGAGAAAGGAAGCTGCGGAAAAAATCCATCCAGGCCTTACCCAGGTTGCAATGGCACCTGACGAAAAAAGAGCACAGCAAATGTCAGAAAATACGACACCAGGGGGGAACTGTTCTTCTGTCCACGTACCATAGGGACTGGAGGCAGAGAAGTCACCAGCAGCAATTGCTATATCAAGTGTAGCCCTTGTGAACACGTAAGGTATTGGTGCTGGTGATGGGGCAGAAGATGGAACACCACATGCATAGCAAAAGGGGCCTCTTGGAGATGTAGCGAAACTTGGATTGCTTGTATCTGGGCAGCCGGAACTAGCAAACATGTTTCCCAGGTTAGTGGAGGTAAGTGCTGTGGCTCCATTTCCCCAATCACACAGGTCTTGGTTGAATTGTGAAGAAAAAAACATGAAGTCAAAACCTATGCCAGCAGCAACATTCTATCATAGTGGCACAGTGAGCAAGAGTAGAGCAACAATCACATTGGATATTCCGTTTTTTGTCATTACTTACCCAGTTGGAGATGTCTTGATTAAACTTGCTGGCTTCAAAAGCCCCAAAAAATGATGTTACTTTGCTGTAGAAACCAGAATGACAAAGAAATTAACACAAAGGATTTTTTTTTTTTAAGTGAGCAAAGCGAGAAATTCAATCTTACCTGACATCCCAATTGCTGAGAGGCTGGTTGAAATTACCTGGATGGTTGGAGAAATTCAAAGAAACAACAGTGAAGTTGAGCATACCAGCAACACTGTCTAGGCTGCATTGTGTGTGAGAGACTGAAGAGCAGTTCAGGTTGACCTACCGGTATGCCAGAAAATGTAGTGCATATTTGTCAAAGAACTTGTTGTCCATCCATTGATATTTTGATTGAACGCCGAGTCTGGTTCACAGCAATTAATAGCAATGGGGTAAGTGTTTCATTTCATTTCATTCGTTCATTTCATTTCATTTCATTTGTTGGGGAAAACATCCATGATGGCAACAAAGAAATGCTTACTGGAATGAAACATTGAATACTGTGGACATCGCAGAGTAGATGGTGAATAAATAAGTGTGTTAGTTGTGTGACCATCAAGCCAATACAAGAAGCTCATTAAACTGGCCATTACCATATTTACACCGGGGAACATCCCAATCGGAAATGGTCCTTGATTGAATGAGTACCTAGGAACTGCATATAGTGGTAGTTGGATAGCCAGAGGCAATGGGTAGCATTCATTCACTTCTCTCATTATCCAAACGCAGAATGATAGAAGCTATACACACCAGGCTATGAAATCAGTTATCCCAGAGACATCCTATTTTGCGTTTGAATGAAGGATCAGCAAAGTGGGTAAGTGTCAGTCCAGAAAAAATCGAAGCATGAGAAAGGAAGCTGCGGAAAAAATCCATCCAGGCCTTACCAGGTTGCAATGGCACCTGACGAAAAAAAGAGCACAGCAAATGTCAGAAAATACGACACCAGGGGGGGAACTGTTCTTCTGTCCACGTACATAGGGACTGGAGGCAGAGAAGTCACCAGCAGCAATTGCTATATCAAGTGTAGCCCTTGTGAACACGTAAGGTATTGGTGCTGGTGATGGGGCAAGGTGATGGCAAGATGGACGGAGTCAAGAAGGGAGTGGTTGAGCGGCACATTGATGGGTCATCAGAAGGATTATTGCTAGGACTCGAAGATAGTAGCATTAGATGGGATTGGTGACTAGGATTGTGAAGATGGAAGCATCAGGCTGAAGCTAGGAGTGGGACTGGACTCTGATGGACCAGTGGAGGGCATTTCAGAGGGAGCCGTGACTAGGATTTGAAGTTGGGGCATCAGAGCTGAAGCTAGGGAGTGCGGATGGACTCTCTGATGGACCAGTGGAAGGTATTTCAGATGGAGCCGTGCTAGGATTTGAAGATGGGGCATCAGAGCTGAAGCTAGGGAGTGTGGACGGACTCCCTGATGGACCAGTGGAAGGCATTTCAGATGGAGCCGTGCTAGGATTGAAGATGGGGCATCAGAGCTGAAGCTAGGGAGTGTGGACTGGACTCCCTGATGGACCAGTGGAAGGCATTTCAGATGGTGCCGTGCTAGGATTTGAAGATGGGGCATCAGAGCTGAAGCTAGGGAGAGTGGACGGACTCC